GGCACTGGGGGAGTCACTGTTCCCCCGAGCACTGCCAGGAGTGACCAGGAATAACGGTCACAAGCTGGCAGAGGGTAGGTTTAGGTTAGACATCAGAAGGCGCTATTTCACGGTCAGGGCGCCTAGGGTCTGGAACCAACTTCCAAGGGAGGTGGTGCAGGCTCCTACCCTGGGGGTTTTTAAGAAGAGTTTAGATGAACACCTTGCTGGGGTCGTTTGACCCCAGTACTCTTTCCTGCCATGGCAGGGGGTCGGACTAGATGATCTTCTCAGGTCCCTTCCGACCCTAGAAACTATAAAACTATGAAACTATACCCAACTAGATAATCCTAGCCAAAGCTTTGTCTAGCTGAATTTTGAAAACCTCCAAGGATGGAGCTTCCACCACCTCTCTGGGTAACCTGTACCCTCCTATTGAGAAAATTCTTCCTAATACCTAGCCTAAACTTCCTTTGCTGCAACTTACGATGGTTGCTCCTTGTCCTGTCATCTGCTACCACTGAGAACAATCTAGCCCCTTCCTCTTTCAAACTCTGCTTCAGCTATGTATATCCGTAAGGGTAAGTCCCAGAAGAAATAAAGGAAAGGGGGGCAAAGAAGACTACTCTTATGTTGCAGCCCCATTAGCTGAGTAGTTAGGGCCCTTGCCCAGGTTCTAGGTCTACTCCTCACCCAGAAGGTATTTGAATCTGTTGTTCACTGACTTCTCAGCATAGTATTCTAACCACCAGGCTACAGGTCAAGCATCACTCAGTACTGTCTCCAGCATGTAGGGAGGAGGGAGGACCCGGGCACCTATAGGGCCGTCAGTCTTACCTCAATACTGGGGAAACTCTTTGAGAAGATCATCATGAATGTGTACTATTCATTTGGTAAAGCAGATAGAGAGCAGTGCAGTTAGGAAATTTATGCTTCAGTGGGAGCAAGAGTCTAGGGGACAACCCATGATCTTCCAGAACACCCTCCATCTTACTCTAGCTCATACCCTTCCTCCTGAACCCACATATCAACCTTGACCGGCTGGGGCATCTAGCTGCTTTATCTTTGGAACATACAATTGCTTTTTTAAAATCATGTAAACATATACAAATATATTTTGCTCATTACAAAATTATTTTCCAGTTACCAAGGCACATAGCTGTATATACTTAAAACAACTGTATGGATCTCTTTATTTGACTCGCAGTTCTTTACCTGTCTGATTGCTGTAATGGTTCTCTGGGCAATACACACACTCATAGCAGCATGTATGTGGACTTGCTGTAACCTTCTTCACTTGCCCTGGCCTGCATTCCTGGGAACATTTTGACCGAAATTTCTGCAATGTTGTGGAGAAAACAAACAAAAAAGCAGCCCAAGCACAATTAATTCCTGAGAACACTTTCCATTTAGAATAAACAACATTCAGTTCATTCTACATTTGGATCAAGCTTTTGAACTTAAAAGATGTTTCAAAGATCCTGCAAAGAACTCTATAACTTTCCAGTGTGGGATTCCATGCTAATTGGATTTCAGTGCTTTACCAGTAAAACAGTGGGCAGATTTTGAAAAGATTTC